AAAGACTTTTCTAGAAGCAAGATTGAACTTGCAAAATAACAATGCTAAAAAATGCATTTGATAAAACTTGTGAGGGAACTTGATGGTTTTAAATCAAAAAAGAACAAATTCACTGAGAAACCATTTTTTTCCCTTAATATTATTCTGAAATATGATCTGTCACTCTGAGCTTCACATGCAGGGCAGGCTGAACAGGACAGGTGTGTCCTACCCCTACCTCCGGCATTATTCGCCCAATGAAAATAGATGGGGAAATGCACGGGTGAGAAAATACCACACATCTACATCACTTTTTAAGTTTGCATTCATGGAGTCACCCATCTAGGCTCATGACCACAGAAGTGACTTGATGCAATCTGATGGGTTTCTTAAATGGGACACTTTTTACTGATTGGCTGAATGAACTGAAATGTATTGAAATATTTACATTGTGAAGTACCTTGGGATGACTCTTGTCATGATTTGGCGCCATATAAATAAACTTAATTGAACTAAATAGAAGGCTGTGTTGATATTTACAGCCAGGAGAAGCAGAGTGCGTCTCGGCTAGTAGACGTTAACCATTAAGGTCAAGGTCAACTTTATTTATATAGCACATTTACAGTCACGCAGGCAACTCCAAAGTGCTGAACAAGGGTAAGAATAAATAAATGAATAAAAATAAACACAATCAAGAACAAATTACGGTTAAAATCAAGGTTAAAATTTGTAAAAATTAATTTTAAGCTAAAAGAGTATAAGATAAAAAGGCAAGTCTAATAAAAACAGAGGTTAACTACTCTAGTCAACCTGCATTAAAAGCCAAATCAAACAAGTATGTTTTAAGTAATGCTTTAGAATGCATTAGCAATGCCACAAAATGGTAGAACTCCTTCAGGCGTGTGCCCACGTGAGAACTCAGAGAGAGATGCCATCATTCAGTTGATTATCCCACAGTCTAAACAGAGGAAGTTGCACGTTGCTGTTAGCCAATCAGAGACGTGATGTCATTATCATGACTCCAAGGCTCCAAATCCTGCTGTTACCTGACCCCCTATCCTCCAGCTAACTTCTTTTTCCTGAAACAAGAGTGCAAGAGCGTTTTTTTTTTTCCAAAAGAATGACTGACATTGCATGCATTCATACTAGAGACCACTACAAATGTGTCGAACTGTATACACACATATATATATACACGTGTGTGTGTGTGTGTGTGTTTGTGTGTGTGTTTGTGTGTGTGTGTGTGTGTGTGTGTGTGTGTTAACATAAAACTTGAAAAAAATAAAAGGGTACCACCAGGGGTATTAGACTTCTATATTCTCAAACCCCCCAAAACTACTGTCTAAAGTATGTAAGACACTGTCCAAAATAGACGATAGAATAGCAATCCCAATTGAAAAATGGGAGGTGGATCAGCTTTGACCAGAACTTCTGGTCCCAAACTTGTTTAAAAACTTTTAAAATGATCAGACACTCCAATTTACAATTAATTCAGTACAAAATTCTACATAGAGTATACTATACAGGTCATCGAATGTTCAAGATGGGGTTTGTGTCATCTGACACCTGTATACACTGCACAAACAACATTCCTGACAATTACATTCACGCACTGTGGTCCTGTCCACCTGTCCAGGAATTTTGGGGTAGAGTATGTGAAGACCTGTCAAAGTGTCTGAAACGTCATATCCTAACCTCCACCTCTCTTTGTTTACTGGGAAACCTGGACGATGTCCCGATTGAAACATCTTTGGCTCACGTGGTTCTGACTGCCATATGCATTGCTAAGAAAACTATCCTCTTGAATTGGAAAAATAGAGAAACTCTCTGCATTAACCAGTATAGAAATCTTTTGTTAGATCATATTAAAGTTGATATAGCCTCTGCTTCCACTTCAAATCAATCTCTCTGGGCTGCTTTGATTGGTTCCATCACACAGTGATGACGGGGGACCATTGATATTGTCCTGCGGGATGATGTGGGTGAGGGGGTGGAGGGTCTGAGTTTGGAGTATCCGGACGTTCCTTGGAGGTGGGTTCACTGGGGTTGTCTGGGACTTTTGCCCCCCTCTGGAGGTGCTTGGATTGCCTCGGGGGGTGGACTACTGGCAGTTGTGAGTGGGGCCCCTTGGAGGTCTTGGCAGTGGCCATGGGTCACTGCCCGGCAGCTGCATTCCCCCTTGGTGGGTCTGGGTGGGGGCCTGACATGTATGCTGCCAGGAAGAAGGCAGGAACATGCAGCAGTGCCTGGCTTGGGTTCAGGGGCCTCAGGTAGACCTTGGCTCCTCTGCTGTCCCATCACAGGGAGCAAGGGAAGTCCAGGAGGGGGAGGACCTAACCTTACCTGGATGTCCTATGTCTTACATAATCTGGAAGTTGTGCAAATGCAGGGATGGGTGTAGATATTCTGCTGGGTTGGTGCCCTCGGACTCCATGAGGCTCTGTGATGCTGCTACTTTGGGCCCTGGCAGGATGGGCTGGGGTCTCCATGCCCTGGGCGGCATTTTGACAACAGAGGTGCCTTTTGAGGCCAGTGGGGGAGCTGGCTTCCTGGAGGGCTAAGCCCAACCAGCCATTCCTCCCCATCCCCACACATTTCTCTCCTCCTGCTCCCTCACATCATCACACAAACATACACATAGGACCTTGGGGGGTGGACAAGTCAGGGAGTGCGGGTATGGACCCCATTTCCGCATTCCTGTGGCAACCTGCCCCTCAATTTTATTTGCACCTTAAACACTTCCACCAACAGCATTCCACGCAAACACACACTTAGGGCATTGGGACTGAGCACATTCAACGGCAGTTGGCAGGGGGATCTTTCAGCCTCATCCCAAGTGCCGGTGCCCACTTCCAATTTTAAACTGCACTTAGACACCGAGGGCTGTGGGTGAAAGTGGGGTGGTGTGGTGGCATCAGCTGGCATAGGCAAGATGATGCCCGCACTGCCCACTCACCACAGCCATGGAAAATACCTTATCAACACTCACTAACACCATATTGATTGATTGATTGATTGATTGATTGATTGATTGATTGATATTGGAGCAGGCGGAGGGAGACTAGGGGTCTTAGCACACCTCTGTTGTCGCTTGGCTTCCTGGGGCTGGAGGCTAGGAGGGAGATCCAGCCGTGCAGTTGGGGTCTGGGGTGGTGGGTGGCTGTGCTCAACGTTGGGCGGGGGAGCCTGCTCATCAACACCCCAGCAGAAAGGGTCGAACTCTGGGAACTGGTAATGGTTTTACCCCCAAATGCAGCAGTACCGGGACCAGAGTGAATAGGGTGTGTATGGGGAGCATGAGTGGGTGTCCGGCGTGCATTTTTGTAAGTCTTTGGTTGTATGTGTATGTGTGAGCATGAGGGAAGGAGTGTGTGACTGTGTTTTTGTATGACTGTATATGTCAGGTGGGGCCTTTGACTCCTCTCTTCTCCTGGGACTTCTTTTGATGATATAGATCTTCGTCTCCCCTCTCCCTTTCACACCTGGTGGAGAGTGCGGTGCCTTGGTCTGCCTGGGTCGTGGCTCCCGGGTCAGGGAGTTTAAGATTTTTGGTGTCCGCCTGACCAATCCCGGTAGCTGCCTGGTGGGGTCCCGGGTCCCCGGGCTCTGCTGGGTCCCCGGCGGGGTTGCTGGGTCCCGGGCTCGGACGGCTAGGGGATGGGAGGCTGCGGGCGGGCCTGTGGGCTTGCCGCCAATATCTCTCGGGACTCTGCCGGCTGCTGGTTGTGGCCCCCCGGGGCAATCCTCTGCACCTCTCAAGGGGGGCAGGGGCTTTTCTGGTCGCAGTCTCCCTGGGGCTCCTGTGCTCTGGGGCAGCTCCTGGATCTCTGGGACTTGGCGCTCCCTCCATCTCCTGCACATCTTTAGGGGGCAGATAAGTGGCCCCTCACACTCTCTATTGGACGCTTCTATAGAGAAACCTTACATAAACAAACGCGTGTACACACACAGGTGCTCACATGGTGCTCTCATAAGTATGGACTTGGGCACGTTCAACACAAGTTTTAAGGCTATGGTTGGCACTAAATGCACTGTGATTTATTATCATGTGATTGTTCAGTTAAACAATGTTGATTATATATTTCTTCATCAAGTTGACGCAGTGATAGCTTGATCTTGTTGTATTGTTGTTGTGTCCCTTTTTTTTGTTTTGTTTTTTTTTTTCCTCTTTCTGCAGGTCTAGAAGCAGACTCTTTTTCATTATTGTTTATTTTTGTGGAAACAATAAAATAATAATAAAAAAATTAACAATAAAAGGACAAAACTTAGAAATGTTTGAATTTTTTGAAATGTGTTGCTAGTGGCATGTCTCAAATTGTTGTGACAGGACAAAATATTACTCTACCTCATCTTATAACTTTCAAAAGGATTAAACTTTCTGGTCATTTGGATGTTTTTAGGATCAAAACCTCTGTGAAGGAAGCTAAAACAGTAGGACAGTTGGGGACGAGTAAAGATTTGGGGGAAATGTGCTCAATGACAAAAGAATGTTTGTTTGCATGAAGGAACACAACAGCAGCCCGCATAGCTAAATTATCTACATCCTTGAAGCCATCATTATTCTTGAAAGATGAATGTATCCAAAAAGATTTGGGGAAATTAATGATGCCATCCTGATGGGTTTTCTTTGGGATGCCTTGTTTACATCAGAGAGGGAAAGCCAAACTATATTCTGTGTGCATTAAATCAATGTGGCTCCAGAATGAAAGAGTCTGGTTGCAGAAAGGGTCCATCTGCAGTCCAGATTTGTCACCTGCTGAAAACATATGGTTCATTTTGGGGACTGTTGAGCAGCTAACATTTTTCATTGTGCCAGAGTAGGAAAACAGTTCTATTTCTAAATGACAGCATTGTGTTGTTAAATCCCAGTAACACTTTTTTAACATTAGTCCTGTGCAGAATGAAGAATTAATTCCAGCTGTGCAGTCAAGAGACAGAAATACATAAATGTGGCCTTTTAACGTTCACCAGTGCAGAATATGAACATAATTAATCGAGAATGTTTGTTTCTGTTTTATTAGAACTCCCGGTAACAAACCAGGCAGCAACTCGAGAGGTCAGACTCCAGACGAGAGCGGACGCCGCCAGGGACACGAAGCCCACTCTGTTTCTGACATGGCCAACTCAGTCACCAGCGACATGCTCATGGTAACACAATATCGACTCTCCAGACGAAGTCCTCTTTACTTATTATGGACTGCAGAAAGATTATTTGTATTAATTCAGTTTTTTTTCTGCGTCAGTGAAAGACATAAAAAGTTTTAAAATCCTTTTCAGAAATGAGCAAAGAAGTCAATCAAATAAAATCTACTTGTACATTTAAAAGACAGGCTGATCAATGTAGCATGTAGAAATGTATAATTGTTCTTGATGTTTTTAATTTTTACAACTTTTGCTGAATGTTTGCTACATTCATATCTACTGGTAAATGCACAAATCAGGTCTTTTTGTCTCGATAGCTCACTCATCTACTTACTTAATCCAAGCTACTTTCCTGCCCTCACCTGTGGTCATGAGCTTTAACGACCGAAAGAATAAGATCACGGATACAACATCCAAAATGAGTTTTCTCCACAGGGTGTCTGGGCTCTTCCTTAGAGATTGGGTGAGAAGCTTGGTCATCCGGGAGGGGCTCCGAGTAGATCTGCTGCTCCTCTACATCAAGAGAAGCCAGTTGAGATGGCTCAGGCATCTGACTGGGATGCCTTATGGATGCCTCCCTAGAAATGTTCCCAACTCTGCATCAGTCTAGATACTTCCACAATGACTCAGCCTGAGTATCGGCAGTGCAGTGTTATGTGTTTCACTGAGACGTGGCTGCAGGACCATATCCCCGATTCCAGTGTTTCTCTGCCAGGATTCCTGACTGTACGAGCAGACAGAAATCCGAAGAGGAGCGGGAAAAGAAAAGGAGGTGGAGTGGCAGTGCTTGCAACAACAGATGGTGCCATCCATGTCATGTTTCAGTGAAATGTCATCTCTGCAGCCCAGATGTTGAACTTTTGGCAGTAAGTTGTCACCCATATTATTTGCCAAGAGAGTTCACCAGTGTTGTCTTGGCAACCGTTTATATTCCACCTTCAGCCGTTGCTGAAAACTCATGTGATGCCATAAGTTCCGTTGTCGCTAAGCTACAAACCCAGCACCCCAATGCATTTGTGGCTATATCTGGTGATTTTAATCATGCCTCGCTCTCTGCTACACTTCCAACATTTCAACAGTTTTTCAGCTGCTCCACCAGAGAAAACAAGACATTGGATTTGTGTTATGCAATTGTAAAGAATGCATACATGACCAAAACAAGACCTCTGGGACAATCAGATCACAATCTTGTTTTTCTCTGCTCAGAATCAAAACCAATTGTTCAGAGGCAACCTGTGACACGAATAACTGTGAGAAAATGGTCACAGGACACTGAAGAAGCCCTGCAGGGTTGTTTTGAGACCACAGATTGGATGACTCTCTGCCAAGGATATGAAGTGGACATCAATGCAATGACTGGATGTGTCACTGACTATATAAACTTCTGTGTGGACACATCATACCCACCAGAACAGTGAGATCCTTCACTAATAACAAACCCTGGATAACCAGTGAACTGAAGAATCTGCTAAATGAGAAAAAAAGAGCCTTCAAGGAGGGAGACAGGGAATTATTGAGGAGTATACAGAAGCAACTGAAGATCAAGATCAGAGACAGCAAGGAGGCATACAGGAAGAAGCTGGAGAACAAACTACAGAGGAACAATATCAGAGATGTCTGGTCAGCGATGAAGAAGATCACAGGATTCAAGCAGAGGAAGGATTGCACAGATGGCAGCCTGGACACAGCCAATGAACTGAACAAGTTCTTCAATAGGTTCAGTTCAGGAACAAACCCAGCATCCTCCTCACATGTCCCTAGCCAATCAGACATCCCATCCTCCTCTGATCCAACATTTTCTTGTCACACGCCAGCTCTTTTGTCCTCTAACGCAGTCATGGACTCTTCTGGTTCTATAAATCTGTCTTCAACCAAGTCAGGAGGTGCTGCTGCCACGGTTACATCCCCCTCCCACCTATCTGTCTCCAGAAGTCAGGTGAAGAGGCAGCTGGACAGACTGAACAGGAACAAGGCTGCAGGTCCACATGGTGTCAGCCCCAGAGTACTGAAGGCCTGTGCAGAGCAGCTCTGTGGAATTCTGCACCACCTCTTCAACCTCAGCCTGGCCCAGGAGAAGGTTCCAGTCCTGTGGAAGACATCCTGCCTTGTTTCAGTTCCAAAGAAAACTCGCCCATCAGTCAATGACGACTTCAGACCAGTTGCCCTGACATCCCACATCATGAAGGTCCTGGAGAGACTCATGCTGGTCCACCTGAATAAGCATACTAGAACATATCGGGAACCACTGCAGTTTGCTGGACGCCATGGAGTTGGAGTTGAAGATGCCATCATTCAGTTGCTTCAACCAATCCACTGTTATCTGGACAAAGCAGGCAGCACTGTGAGGGTCATGTTATTTGATTCCTCCTGTGCATTTAACACAATCCAGCCTGATGTACTTTGCCAGAAACTCCAGAAGACACAGGTGGGGGCCTCAACTATCGCCTGGATTAAAGACTACCTGACAAACAGACCACAGTTTGTGAGGCTGAAGAACTGCACATCAAACCAGGCAATCAGTAACATTGGAGCACCACAGGGGACTGTACTCTCACCATTCCTTTTCACCCTGTACACCTCAGACTTCCAGTACAAATCAGAGACCTGTCATCTACAGAAATACTCAGATGACTCTGCAGTTGTCGGGTGTATCAGAGATGGACAGGAAGCTGAGTACAGAGAGCTGGTGGAGCGCTTTGTGGCACGGTGTGGAAACAATCATCTGACCTTGAACGTGGACGAAACAAAGGTGATGATTTTAGACTTCAGAAGAAACAGGGTGGAGTCAAACACTGTTTCCATCATGGGAGAAGAAGTGGAGGTGGTTGAGGAATACAAATACCTTGGAGTTCACCTGGACAACAGACTGGACTGGAGAAAGAACAGCGAAGCCGTTTACAAGAAGGGACACAGCAGACTGCACTTCTTGAGGACGCTTAGGTCCTTCAATGTCTGTAGCAAGATGCTGCAGATCTTCTACAAGTCTGTTGTTGAGAGTGTAATCTCTTCAGCCATCGTCTGTTGGGGTAGCAGCATCAGAAGCAGGGACCTGAAAAGGCTCAACAGCCTAATAAAACACTCTGGTTCTGTTCTGGGGACGACTGTGGAACCACTGGAGGAGATAATGCAAAGAAGGATTCTCCAGAGAATCAAGAAAATTATGGACAACCCTGAGCATTCTCTTCACAAGACTGTCCGACAACAGAAGGGCGTCTTCAGTCAGAGGCTTCTTCAGTTTCGCTGCAACACTGACTGCTACTGGAGATCTTTCCTGCCAACAGCCATTGTAATTATTATTCTGAGCTACTATAGCAATCAATTTCCCTCTGGGATTAATAAAGTATTATTGAATTGAATTGAATTGAATGGCACATGCATGCTGTGTGATCGACATCTGTACATAAAAGGATGTCTAACATTATTGGCCAATGCTGCTGCTCAATTTAAATTGCATGTGGCTCTATGGGACGGGAGCAGGCTTAGCAAAGAATCATCACTTTTATGGATTTCTAAAAATCAGACATTCCTCAAAAGGGAAAAACTATGGATTGCTGATTTCAGTCAGTTTCTAATTTGACTAAATTAAAACAAGCAGAGCATATTTTGCTCTATTCTTTTTTTTCTTTACTAATGATGTTTTAACCTCTTTAAAATTGCAACACTTAAAACAGGGATTGTTTTTCTTGTAAATATATAATAGAAATACAACAATGTCTCTGCGTGTAGATTTTGGCAGAAGGCGTTAGCATTTATTTGCATATCAACTTATTTTATTGGTATATTCTCTTAGAAAATTCTACACAGAGTAAAGTTTTGAGTGAAGTTTTCATCTTCTGCAGCTGTCTCCGTCCCACTCAGCTCTCCCGCCTGTGGAGCATCACCATTTTATTCTGCTTCTGAGTGTTTCTGCTTACTGAAAACCCACAATAATCATCCTCCTGAAGCAAGAGCAGCGTGTGTGTGTGTGTGTGTGTGTGTGTGTATGTGTGTGCGTGCATGTGTGTCTTAATTAGCCGTGAAGGAACGCGCCATGACGTGGGTGCTGTGAGAATATGGTGGAGATGGGTGTGAGTGCTTTGTAATTACGTGGGTTTCATGGTGAATCTGAGAAATTCGTAGTGGCGCCACTTAACGATAACGCTCATGTTGGGCAGTTTTGCAACACATCAATATTTTATAGCAAGTTTTCTTTTCAAGCTGCCAATGGTGTCATCCTGCACATTTTATTTTCCTTTCTGTGGGAAGAACACAGATTTATTTCCACTGACTGTCTGTACAGAGAGAAAGGAGGGTATGAAGCGATTTATACATCCACCCATCTGAAGGGTCTCAGGTGATACGTGTTGGACACGTGGGGTCCTGTCACATGATTTTATCAGGGTGTTCTCTGACACTGCTATCATTTTGTGTGGTGCTCATAGAGCCATGGCAAGTACGGCGTGAAAGTATCTCCTCTGAAATTTTATCTCACATCCACACATTTGCAGAAAATGATATGCTATTTTAGCCTAAGTCTAGAAATATTCAGCTTTTTTTTTCCAAAAGCCACAAAAAGGTTTAGTTCATCTTCTCTTAACCCTTTGATGCATAATGGTCACTACAGTGGACAGGTACTTAAAATTGTTATTTATTTATTTTTTGCTGTTAAGCACAGCTGTTGAAGACTTTATTGCATTTGAGCTCCTCCATTTGGACTTCAGTAAGTCAAGCCAACATATTTCATGTTCAGATTGCACACTGTCCACTGAGGTGGACATGTAATAAACTGTGTAAATTAAATGTTACAAAAAATATGTAAATATGAAATTTGTTTCATTCACACCTAAACATGAATGAAAAAAAATTGTTTAAAATTTGAAGATTTCATAATTCATGCATCAAAGGGTTAATGTTTTCCGACTTCTCTGCCCTTCAGTATCTGCAGCACTAAGCATTAAGTACATGTATTCCTGCAGCAGATTTACAAAGTGGACAGAAATAAGGTTTCATAAAGATTATATATATGG